TGGATAAAAGCAGATGGCAGGATGGGTAAGAGGAAAAGTTTAAACTTCTACCCTTGTTTCACTGTGAAAATTGGGAGAGAGCTCAGCATCTCTGGCCACAGAGGCCAGAAGCCATGGGGAAATATCAGGGCAGTGTGAAGGATGGGATGATTAAGGGCAGCAGAATTTGTGCTAATAACCACCTGAAGTCACCTTAGTGGATGAGGCCTGTCCTTTTCAAAATTGACCATTTAAATAGCAGAGAAAGTCTGGACGAGAAACAAGAGTATGGAGCATCGGAGTGAATCAGGCAGCCTAAGAGTGGCTATGCTTTCCGGAAACTTGGTGAGATGTAAAATGTATTTCTGACTCTGAATGAGGCTTAAGAGAATGAAAATCAGTGCTCTGAACTATGAAATGTTAGATAACCTCGAAAGAGCAGGACGTCCCCAAGTCCGGCTGCTCAGCCGCTTCCTTTTAGAGGGAAACGTTTCCGAAGTCTGGCTGGCTGGTGCTTCTTCTCTGACCCTCCGCGGCGGTCAGGGGCGCTGCAGCTCCCCACCCAGCATGGAGTCTAGGACTCAGAGTCATTTTCTGCAGGGGGTGCATCTGAGACACAAGCTCAGAGCTGACAGGGAGGGAGCCGGCCCAACCAGCATTTCATCAAGGACCCAGGAGCCAAGTTAGGAACTTCAGGAGCGAGTAATGGGGAGGGGCATCTTTCCCAGGGGGTCCGAGGAATCCAGCCTGGACCTGATTTCAGCCCTGGGAGACCCCGAGGCATGGCATCTGGATGTGATGTGCCCTGACTTCTGCCTGGGAGGTCTGAGAAAGGTACGGGCCTGGGTCTGGGAGGAGGCTCCAGACTGGCCCAGAGGAAGCCCAGCCCTACAGGGAGTCAAGGCAGGGGCCTGAGGGAGAACGAAGGCCCCACAGCATCCGTCTCCGCCCTAGGGGATCCTGGCCAGGCTTCTCGGGGGGACTAGGAGGAGGAGGGCCTGGTTCTCAGGGAAGGAAATTCAAGTGGGCAGAGGGAGGGCCCAGGGCCTGATAGGACCCAAGGTGAGCATGCAGATGGAGAAATGAGGGGATGCTGGACCCCAGAACTGGGGCGTGGGGTGGGGTGACCCAGAGAAACCTGCCCTGCTGAAAGCCCTAGGAGACACATGGCAGCGTGCCCTGACTTCCGCATCCGGGTCTCAGAGGGAGGGGGGACTTAGTTTAGAGAGGGGGACCTCAAGGGGGCAGAGCGGAGACTCGCAAGTCCTGCCAGGAGTCAAGGTGAGCACTCTGAGGGAGGACTGCGGTGACCCTGGACCCCAGAACAGAGTCTGTCCTGGGAGGCCATAGGGTGGAATGACCACAGGCACATTTCCTGACATCCGGGCTCTCAGAGGGACTGGGGACCTGGTATGAGGGGCGGGGCCTCAGGTGGGCAGAGGAGAGACTACAAGCCACCTGAGTCAAAGTGAGGACCCCGAGGGAGGACGGAGCGGACCCAGAAGCCCCGAAAAGAGGCCATCCCACAGAAAGGCGCCCCTGCTCTCAGCCATCCAGAGTCCCGAGGGCAGGACAGGCCCACGTGGTGTGTCCTGACTGCGGCACCTGGTCTCAGAGAGACCGGGGACTTAGTGTAAGTTCGCGGACGGGGGGGCTCAGAGAGGGAGAATCCCAGTTTCCGCCTGGCGTCAAGGTGAGGACCCAGAGGGAGGACTGCGGTAACCCTGGACCCCAGAACAGAGTCGGTCCCGGGAGGTCGTAGAGCGGGACCACCTCGGGCGGCATTTCCTCACATCCGGGTCCGCGTCCCAGAGCGAGCGGGGACCTGGTATGAGGGGCGGGGCCTCGGGTGCGCTGAGGGCAGAAACCCAGTTCCTGGCGGGAGTCACAATGAGGAACCTCAGGGAGGACTGACGAGACCCTGGACACCGGAAGAGAGGGGACCCCACGATTTCTACCTCGGCAGGCCGCGGGTGGACGAGCACATGGCAGCGTGCCGGGGCTTCCGCATCCGGGCCTCAGAGGGACCGGGGCGCTGGTATGGGGGGCGAAGCCTCAGGTCGGGAAGGCGGAGCTGAGGGCCTGTCAGGACAGAACGCAAGGACTGTGAGGGAGGACTGAGGGGACCCTGGACCCCAGAACAGAATCGGTCCTGGAAGGTCATAGGGCGGGATCACCCCAGGCCGCATTTCCTGACATCACGGTCTCGGAGAGACTGGGGTCCTGGTTTGAGGGGCGGGGCCTCAGGTGGGCCGAGGTGAGAATCCCAGTTCCTGCCGGGCATCAAAGTGGGGACCCGGAGGGAGGACTGCGGGGACCCTGGACCCCAGAACAGAATCGGTCCTGGAAGGTCATAGGGCGGGATCACCCCAGGCCGCATTTCCTGACATCACGGTCTCGTCTCGGAGAGACTGGGGTCCTGGGATGAGGGGCGGGGCCTCAAGTGGGCTGAGCGGGGAATCCCAGTTCCTGCCGAGAGTCAAGGTGAGGACGCGGAGGGAGGACTCAGGGGACCCTGGACCCCAGAAAAGAGTCAGTCCTGGGAGGTCATAGGGCAGGATGACCACAGGTGACATTTCCTGACATCCCAGTCTCGTAGAGAGTAGGGTCCTGGTATGGGGGGGGTCCTGCAGTGGGCAGAGGGGAGCCTACATGCCGTCTGACTCAAATTGAGGTCCCTGAGGGAAGACGGAAGGGACCCAGGACCCCAGAAAAGAGGCCATTCCACATAAATGTTCCCCTGCTGTCAGCCGTCTTGAGGGCCCAGGGCGGGATGAGCCCAATCGGAGTGTCCTGACTTCTGCATCTCCGTCAGAGAGACTCGGGACATAGCGTAAGGGGTGGGGGGGTCCTAGGTCTGTAGAAAAGAGAATCTGAGGTGCCAGTGGGAGTGAAGGAGACGACCGCGAGGGAGCACTGAGGGACCCTGGACCCCAGAACAGAGTCAGTCCTGGGAGGCCATAGGGTGGGATGACCTCAGGCAGCAGTTCCTGAAATGCCGGTCACAGAGGGACTGGGATCCTGGTATGATGGGCGGGGCCTCAGGTGGGCTGAGAGGGGAATCCCAGGTCCTGCCAGGAGTCAAGGTGAGGACCCCAAGGGAGGAGTGAGGGGACCAGAGACCCCAGAACAGAGGGGACACAACCGATCCTGCCCCTGCTGTCAGCCCTGGGAGGCCCCCAGGTGGGATGAGCACACGTGGTGTGTCCTGACTTCCGCATCCAGGGCTCAGAGAGACCGGGGACTTACTATAAGGAGGGGCTCTCAGGTGGTTGGAGCGCAGAATCCCAGGTCCCGCTTGGAGTCAAGTGAGGACCCTGAGCTAGCGCGGAGAGGACCTCCCACCCTAGAAGAGTGGGAACCAGGTCTCCTGCCAGCACGGGGGTCCAGGGCTGTGCCACAGTGTAGACCCGAGGTCTCCCCTCCTTTCTCTCCCAGGGGCTCCAGACAGCGGGAGGTGAAGGCCTAGGTCTGAGACACATGTCCTCGGGTCACAGAGCACAGGAGGCCGGCAGTGCCAGGACTGAAGGTGAGGTGTGGGCCCTGAGTGTGTGCCCGGTGGCTCCCGGAACAGAGGGGACCCCACGAGGCCAACATCCACTCCACCCACCCCCTGTCGCCCCCAAAGCCTCGGGCTGTGCCGGCTGCACCCTGAGGAGGCGCCTCACTTCCCCCGTCAGGTTCACAGACGACCGTCCACCAGGAGGAGAGCCCCTGTGAGGCCGAGGGCACCCCTGGAGAGGAGACCTGTAAGTGGCCTTTGTCAGAGCCCCCCAGGGTGGGTTTCTCAGCCCGGGCTGCTGACACTCCCTTTCTTCCCCAGGCCCGTGGGTCCCCATCTGTCACCCTTGCCTCCACTCCTGTCGGCTGCCGGACACCCGTCGTCATGCCTGTGGTTCAGATGGGTGACCTCCACCAGACTGAAGCCGACTTTCAGGACCCAAGAGAGGCTGAGGATGTGGTGGTTGCGCAGGAGATGGGGGCTGAGGAGGAGGAGGATGCATCCCCCTTGTCTCCCTCATCCTCTTCTTCCTCCTCCTCCTCCCCCTGCCCCTCCTCCTCCTCCTCCGTCCTGTTCCTGGACACCCTGGAGGAGGTGGATGACTCTGGGACACCCAGTGCCCCGCAGAGCCCTCGGGGTGTCTTCTCCTTCCCCACTGCTGACGACGCCGCCCCTCCATGGAGCCAGTCGGAAGACGACACCTCCAGCAGCCAAGATGAGGAGAGGCCCAGCACCGGCCTGGACCCCGCAGATGCCAAGTCCTCACACCCAGACCCATTCCATTTGAAGGCGGCTGACCTGGTGGGCTTCCTGCTCCTCAAGTACCGCACAAAGGAGCCAACCACAAAGGAAGACATGCTGAATGCGGTCCTCAGAGCTGACCAGGACCACTTCCCTGTGGTCTTGAGCCAAGCCTCTGAGTGTCTGCAGCTGGTCTTTGGGGTGGATGTGAAGAAGGTGGACCCCAGGGAGCACTTGTATGTCCTGGTCCCCACCCTGGGCCTCACCAGTGACGGGATGCTGGGCGGTGGGCAGAGCTTGCCCAAGAACGGCCTCCTGGTGATGCTCCTAGGTGTGATCCTCCTGGAGGTAGAGTGCGCCACTGAGGAGAAGATGTGGGAGGCACTGAGTGTCATGGGGGTGTATCCCGGGAGGGAGCACTTCATCTACGGGGAGCCCAGGGAGCTCATCACCAAAGCGTGGGTGCAGGAGGGGTACCTGGAGTACCGGCAGGTGGCCAACAGCGATCCCGCTCGCCACGAGTTCCTGTGGGGGCCCCGGGCCCATGCGGAGACCAGCAAGCTGCAAGTCCTGGAGCATTTCCTCAGGGTCAATACAAGGAATCTCTGTTCCTTCCTGTCCCTGTCTGAAGAGGTATTGAGTAATGAGGAAAATTGGCCCTGAGCCAGACTTGCAGCCGGGCTCCTTCCAGGCCCCTGTCCGGCAGCTTCTCCTGTCGGGCCGGAAGTGAGTCCATCCTTCACTG